CAAAATCTTTCCAGTGGTTTTCTCGTGATACCTTCCCAGACAGACAGATACACAGACAGACAGATAAATATTCTAAAAATTATAAATTCGGTCTCTGTATCGATAATAATGACTATTTCAATAAGATTTATTATTTTTACATTGTCAGTCAAAGATAGTTAATGTCCATCCCCAGAATTCAATCTATGTCCTTGCCAAATTTTATCAAATATGTTCAGCTGGTTAAGCGCGAGAAATCAACAGACGAAGTTACTTTCATATTTATAATATTAGTATGGATAAGAGATCTCCACATATGTTTTTTGAACCCACATTGGTTAAAATACTTTAATTTTAATATTAACTTTTATTCGCGAATTATTTTCTAAGACTAATATATAGGTACTAATATACGGTATATTGATAAGTGAAACATTTTTCCGTTGCTTGCGGAAGAATTTCAAAAACATCTCGAAACAGTGTATTTTCACGTATTTATGAAAATTTCCACCTAAACTCCAGCAGCCTCTAATTTTTATTTCGAGTGGTTTTCTCGAAATCTAAGAAAAATGAAAAACTCCGCTAACCCATTTTCCCAAATATGATTTTTTAACCTGATTCGGTATTAAAAATGAAACGTGTTTCAAATAGTAAGTTGAAAAAGCGCATATTTCGGTTCGAATTCTGGTTGGAGTGTATTTTTTTTTCAAAAGCGAATGTTCGGAGAGTGGAACTTATGAGTTTTTTAAAGCACCATTATGACTGTTTAATATGCTTTTAAAGCGAAATTATTTAAATCTTTCATACATTTGGTCTTATATTGAAATGAATTTTAAAGGCTGTATGGTTTTGTGGTCCAAATATCTGTGTACGTTTAAGGTCACGGGTCCTTGCCTGGCCCTTGAATATTTTTTTTAGCTTATAATATATAAAGCTTATGATTGTATATTTGAAAAACAAACTTCATACGACAAAAAACCTCATAACATTCTAAGTCATAGTATAAAGAAGTTTATATATACATACATACATATATATATATATATATATATATATATATATATATATATATATATACATATATATATATATATATATATATATATATATATATATATATTACATTAAAGAAATCTAATAGAATTTTTTTATTTTGTTCCAGGTATGACAACTCACATTGTATCTATCAAACTTTTTACATAGTAAGTTAACTATATCCTATCAAACTACAGTTGACTGCGTCTAAGCTGGAGTCATTTTGATATTTTTAAAGTAAAATATCATCTTAAGTGTTTTTAGCATACCTAATTAATCCTTAGTAATTCAAGGACGAGTTGCGACATCATATTGCGAGCCATCAATTATGCTCAGATTATATATTTTTTTTGACTCAAGTCATAAGATATTTAGTCATTTCTTTTTATTTTCAATATGTTTTTATTACTATCGATTAGATGTGGGTAAGTAATATTAAAAATAAAGTAGCAAGTTGATTTTAGCTCGCCTGAAGTTGTGTCGATTTATTCTATTAAGCTGCGTGGATTAAAATATGCTATTCACGCCAATTGGCAACGTACTTAATTTAAACACCAAGCGAGTTAATACTTCATTTCTCACTAGATCCGGGGTCTCATATTTTATATACGTGGCTTATGTTTTTGATAACCACTTGTTTTGGTCAACCACGTTGTACAGAATTAAGAAAACTAATTTAATTAATCCAAAATCATTGGTTTTTCTTGTGACAATGGTAAAATTCCGCTAACCAGCGAGCAGCGCTATACAGTTAAAGAAATAAAATTGTATAGTAAAAATCCTGTTTAAATTTAGGTAGCTTCGAAAAATTATTACATTAATTATAAATAAAAATTATAAATTTAATCATTTAAAGATTAGTTAGTAGTTTAATTTTAAGAATCAAAAAGTAGATGCATCCCTTGGAAATAGTTCTACCGCCGCCCAAGCAGCTTCTTGATACAAAATGATTGTATTTACATACAGATTTCACGTACAAAGTTTCAAATACATATTTTATTACATATATACATACGATATTTTAAAGTAGATTGAAATAGAATTTTGTTATATGACTAGCATTGCCCGCGGCTCCGCCCGCATTCAGATGACCAAAAACGAAATAAAATAGCGCTATTGTTATTTTTTTTCAAAATAAGCTATTTTTAATAATTTTTGCCTTATTCAGTAACTTACCTTACTAAAATATATATACTCGTAGTATCATCGTGATTTTATTCTAACCAGTTTTTGTATTTTTTCTCAGGAATGAGATATTTTCCCGCAGTAAAAAGTATCCTTTGTTAAACCGGATAACCAGCTATGACCATACCAAATTTCATCAAAATCCCTCCAATAGTTTTTTGTGTGATGCGGTAACAGACAGATAGACAGACAAAAATTCTAAAAAGTATTGATTCGGCCTCTGTATCGATAATAATGTGTTTTTTTTTTTTTTTTTTTATCTCTATTTTTATTTAGGGACTTTTATCCTTTTCGGACATGTCAGTCCCATCATATCTTAACCTAAGTACAGCATCACATATATATTATGGAAAAAGGGAAATAGATTCAATGCTGCAAAACCATATCCACCAAAATTTTAACAACATCAATACTTATTGGGTTCGCTAATATACTTAAGTATGGTCCAATATCATATCTATTAATATTAAGTTTTTGCATTATTGATTCCCTCTCTCTTTGATGTTTAACACATTCTACAAGGATGTGTTGAACATCGTCTATCATGTTACAACTACTACATAAGGGTGAATTTACCTTTTTCATAAGGTACGCAAATTTATTTGACGGATAATGTCCAGAACGCAGTCTATGTAAAACAACAATATATTTTCGATTTAGTTTAATGTTAAAAAACCATGGTACTCGAGGAGGCTCACACTGTATAGTTTTGTACCAAATACCCTTTTCTGTGCTTCTTTCGTCGAAATATTCTTTAAATTTTTTACAACAGATAATTTTAAATTTATTAAGTATTTCAGTGTAATAAGGCAAAATATTAAATTCAACTCCTTCCGAAATGGCTAGCTTAGCTAACTTGTCAGCCTCCTCGTTACCACTTAAGCCTATATAAGATGGAACCCATTGCAATCTTAGATTTATTTAAGAGTTATTCAGCATGTGTATCCTTTTTAACACATTGTAGGCTATCGGTATACCTCTGCTATAACCAGAGGTGCACCGAGCCAAATGCTCTAAAGCGCTTTTGCTATCGGTGAGTATAACAAAATTTCCATAATCAAAATTCCTTATCATATAGTTAATTGCTTCTAATATTGCAAGGAGTTCCATGGTCATAATTGACACTGGAGCGTCTACTTTTAACATACTAGATATTTGGTTTAATGGATCATAAAAGGCAGCACCGAGTTTATCATTCTTTTTTGCTCCATCGGTAAAGATTTTAAACCAATTTGGATACTTCCTGTTTATTTCATTTAAAATGTCAAATTTAATATAATTCTCTAAATTCTTTTTCGATTTTTTAACGCAATCTAAATTTAAGCTTATAACATTATTTAAACCTATATAGCTCAACCATATATCTAATTTAAACATTTCCAAAGGGTATGAGTTTTGGACCACACAATCTTTACAGTCACTATAAGCTGTACATAGCAAAGGTTTTTTAGCACGCTGCCAATATCTTTCGCAAATTGGTGCACAAAGGTTATTTAAAAGATCTATGGTAACATTATTTGATCGAGACATACTTTTACTACAAAACTTAAGGGCAAGATAATGTCTTCTCAGAGATAATGGTGGTATACATAGCTCACTTTCCATAACGTGGATTGGTGTACTTTTTATAAATCCTCCTATTATTCTGAGGACAGTATTTTGAACCTTGTCAAGCTTAGATAAATGAGTTTTTGCACAATTAGCATATAAAAAACAGCCAAAATCAAATTTACTTCTAACCAATGATATGTATAAGGTACGAAGATGCTTAGGGTGAATTCCCCAGCCTGGGCCTGTAAGTATCCTAAGTAAATTTAAACATTTAGAAGATTTTTCTACAAGCATATTCACATGATTGCTCCACCGTAGCGATCTATCCAGCGAAAGTCCTAAATATCTAACATTATCTTCAACAGACAACATATTATTATTAACGTTTAAATTAATGTTTAATCTCTTATGCCCTCTATTAAAAATACATACTTTAGATTTCTTTGCAGATAACTGAAGCCCTATATTATCTAGTAAAATCATCATAGCGTTTAATGCCGCTTGTAAATTAGTCTCGCAATCATTCAAATTTTTGTGACTCGTATACAGTACAAAATCATCTGCGTACTGAGCTACAATAACATTAGTGATTTGCTGGCTAATGTTGTACGTAATAATATTGAATAGCAGTGGAGATAAAGGATCCCCTTGTGCAAGTCCTCTGTTAGTATGTCTTTCATCTAAAATACTACTTCCTTGACCGAACCCTTTTTTAATTGTAAGGTGTCTTTCGTTTAAGAATGACCAAAGATATCCGCAAATACTTTTTCCTACTCCTAATTGGTCGAGAATATTAATAACTTTATCAACTAAAACATTATTGTAGGCATTTTCGATGTCAAGAAAACAAGAAACTGTTGGCACTTTTTTAGCGAAACCTATTTGTATATAACTTACTAATCTTGCTAAACAATCCATGCACGAGTGAGCCCTTCTGAACCCGCATGTTAATGGCGAAAAAATTTGTTTTTTTTCTATATACCATTCTAAACGCTTAACCAACATACTATGAAAAATTTTACACAAACAGGATATAAGTGAAATAGGTCTAAGCTTGGGTTCAGTATCAAACTCACTACCTAATTTAGGTATAGGGACTATCAATATTTTACGCCACTGACTCGGTACACAGCCCAATCGAAATATAGCGTTATATATATTTAAAAGCAATTCTTTTCCAGACAGAGGTAAATTATAAATCATTGAGAACGTAATACCATCACTACCTGGAGCAGTGTCTCGGTTCTTTAAACAACTTCTAATTCTTGTAAGGTAAAAGGAGTCTCGAGAAGATCATTATTTGAAATTAAAGTAGGGGCGCAATTAGACACAGAGTCTGGAGTTAGAGATCGAAGTAATTCTTTTTGTTTATCATCTGGAACCGAGAGCTGGGTATGCCGAAGTCCTTTAAAACCATTGCATCTTGTTCCACATGTCTAAGATAGATGTACACTCATCAATACTTCCACAAAAATTCCTCCAACTGCAACCTTTCGCCAACCAAAGCTGTTCCCTTACCGCCGTAACTTTGCTCTCCAATATTTCGAGATTATCAGGAGTTGGATTTCTTCTAAAATTCCCCAAAGCCAGTCTTCGTTCTGCCACTAATTTAGATAAAGATGAACACCAGAATTCTCTTGGTTTAAATTTGTTTGTTGGACCAGTATTTAATCTTAGTAAAGGAATGCGCCTATTAGCTGCGAGGATAATTTGACTTAAAAAAAAATCATAGTGTTTCTGAACATCATTAGTATCAAAATTACAACTATTAAATTGAGACGTAATATTTAATAGGTCGCTTTGATATTTGTCCCAATCCGCTTTTTTAAAATTCCACCTTATATTATACTCTACGTTACTACTAAAACACATAGTGATTTTAATCATTAAATGATCGCTGCCTAAATTTTCATTTAATACTATCCATTTAAAATATATTGCAATATCTGAAGATGCAAACGTAATATCAGGCGACGATTTTTGTAACAAACCATTTACCAATTTAATGCGAGTGGAATCTCCGTTATTTAAAGACACAAAACCGTGCTCCAGTGCAGAATCTATTATTTGCAGACCCCTACTATCATTTTTGTATGACCAATTCGTGTGATGGCCATTGAAATCACCCGCTATTATTGTTTTTTTATTTATAAGACTAAAAATGTTATCCCAATCTGCTTGACGTGTTTGGACTGACGAAGGAATGTAAACAGAAATAATATTTTCTAAATATTTACAATTTAAAATCTTTACATGGACAATTTCTATACCTGGATTGATGGCATTGACGGAGCAAAGATGTGATTTTATTGATTTATGTACAATGACTGCTACCCCTCCATAGGAGTCGGGCCTATCCTTTCGGTAAACATTGTATCCTCGAATACGAACAGGTGTTAATTCATTCAACCAACTTTCACATATTATTGCTATATGCACGTTTTCACTACACAATATAGAATCAAAATCAACTAACTTAGGCCTTAAGCTTTGTGAGTTCCACTGAACAATGTTTATATTAAAGTCTTTAGCCATTCCAGAGGTTTAAGAATTTTTCTGCCCACATCCCACCGGAAATATTTTTCATCAATATTAACTTAAACGTTTCAAAAATCGTCTTCAAAACCATAAGGATTTTATCTTCAAACTTATCTTCTGACATAAAAATTTCTTTTAATTTCCAAATCAAGTCACGGATGTTAAACTTTCTGCTTTTCTCTTTATCTTCATCTTTCTCAGTTATCTTATCTATACTATCTTCGTTCTCTGAGCTCGAATCTTCACAATCCATTGATGTTTCCTCCTGTGTGTTTGGTATTTTATCCTTAATTACTTTCTTTCTTTTTTTCTTTGTAGGATTAGATTTTTTTGTTACATCACTATTCAAATTATTTTCCTTATCTTGAATGTTTACTGAATGTACTTCCACTGTACTTTTTACTACGCTGCTGTATGTTCTAACTGTATTTTTATTCTTATTCTTGCTGCTATTTATTGTGATAACTTCAGTTTCCTCTTTCTTCTTATTCTCCTTTTCATTTCTCAAATAAAGTTCTAAAGCCTTTTTGTACGTAATATTTTCTTCACTCATAATACAGCGAATCTTTTTTTCTTTAAGAAAAAAAGGGCAAATTTTGTCTAATGCCATGTGAGGACCGTTACAATTTGGACATTTGTATTCTTCTGTATCACAATTAGTATGATCCTTTCCGCACTTAGGACATATAATTTTATTCAAAGAACAAAACTTTTTACTGTGGCCAAACTTCCAACATCCTGAACATTGTGTTACAGGAAACACAAATTTATCGACGTCGTATTTACAACCATAAGCATCAATGATCTTTGGAATAGACATATTCTTAAAACATAAACGTACTGATTCACTTTCTATCCACTTATTCTCGCTATCTAAACGTTTCATTCTCTTTGCAGATACTATCTCGCACGAGGCTCTTAGATTTTCTAATAATTCTTCTTCACTAATATCAAGGTCTACCCCTCGTATGATCCCATAAGATAAGTTACTTTCGTCAGTAAATTGCGCCCTTATATTCATTTCTGCTAATTTTCGACTTGTAATGAGCTTTTCAGCCTGCTCTTTACTATTAAATACAATAAATATTTTGTATGGACTTTTGTATTTAATCTTACTTACGTTAACTATACATTCATTCCTCAAAAATCTAGCAAAAGCCATCTGTTTCGGCATAATTTGTTGTGAAAATAAACAAACTTCATATTTTTCTTTTTCTGTTGTATAATTACTATTTATGTTTCTGTTTACAACTACATTAGAATCCATATATGACATATTTTCCGTAGAACAACTTCTAATGAAACGTTTTGAACTTTTCTTTTGGACTGTTATAAAACCATCTTCACTGCCGTCTTCACTCTCTCGCGTACGTTTTCCGTTTTTCCGGTTCTCCAATTCTTGTAACTCTCTTTGACATTCATTTAATATCTCCGAATCACTTTTATCTTCATCGCTTGACTTCTCCTCCATTATAAATTATAGAGGGTAGATATATAAAAAACAATATCACTCAATCGAATAATATTACTGCGTGCGTTCGTCACAACGTTCCGCGCGCAACTGCCATAATAATGTGTATTTCAATAAGATTTTCCCAAAAATATTTAATGTAAAGATTTTATATTATTAGAATTGAATTTTATTATTCGTACCTATAGATTTCATTTTTACAAATAAAACTAAAAAAAGCTAAGAAAACTAATAAAAGCATGTTAAAAATGCCTAATTTTTTTATACTTGCGCCACTCAACTAGTCCAGCTAGATGGAGATTAATTGTTCGAGTAAGCCCCGTAAGTCGACTAATGCGATTATCTTGTACCCAGAACAATGGGACCGTTGTAATTTTTATTTATTACAAGCCTGCGCCTTTGTCCTTGTTGTCGATAAGTTATCTTCGGATAGCTCTACCGATATCTCGGGATAGATTCGTGTGAAGATCTACGGTCTAGCCTTTAGTCTTTTGTTTATGCTGCAGTTTATTTGTGTATTTAGATGCGGAACGATTGATATTGAAAATAATATCGTGTTCCTTATTGTATGGAATGCACAGTTAAATTATCTTTATTGTAAAATATCTGCATACACAATTTTTGTTCGCGACTTTGCTTGTGATAAAAATGGTATGTGCTAAACTACGAGTATAAATTTTTTTTGATTTTGAATTGAATGCTTACAACGTGAAGACGAAACTCTCAGCCTCAAACTCCCGCATTTATAATAATAGCGTAGTGCCACAGTATAGTCTAACTAGTGGCTCACCTTCGCTTCGCTCGGGTTCGCCTCTAGGAAAACAAAAACAAACCTATCCCACGGGAATCGTATATTTTTCCGGGATAAAAAGTAGCCTATTATTCGAGACTAAAATCTATCTCTGTGCCTAATTTCATCCAGATCCGTTCAGTCGTTCTGGCGTGAAAGAGTAACAAACATCCATACATCCAAACTCACAAACATTCACATTTATAATATTAGTGTAGATAAACGTAATTTAGACTATTTAGTCGTTTTCACTTACACCGTCTCCAATTTGCTATCAACAGTTTGGATAATTCATTATGGGAGATTAAATTTTCTAATGGTTCAAATTTAATGTTTTTGTCGGTATGGTAGTTGATTTTTAAAATATACAATTGTTAGTGAATCCCTACAAGAATGTATTTTAAAATTGTGTACTGTTTTGTTTTTAAATTAAAAAAAATTATATATAAATCAATTTTACAGTTTTAAGGTTCTCGAACTCTCTTGTACAGCAATAAGTTGTTTTTCCAGTAAAATGTACAGGCAGAAATCAATTACCAATGTCAGTAGCAAGACTGTCTAATCTTACAATCTTCGCCCACTCGTCGTTAATCACGCATGTTGTCTGTCTGACTGCGATCTAAAACATTGCGTACCTGATTTCTATTGACGCTTTTTCTGTTAAATTTAACTTGAGAATTATAACTGTTTTTGTTTGGTTTAAATCTTTACATATAATTAAACTGTAACTGAACGCTGTCTGTACTTTGAAGGTATTTGAGAAAAACTACTATTGGGGGTCTTTATTAACGCAATAGAACCCAAAACAATGATTTTTTGAATTTTTGTCTGTTTGTTGGTTTGTCTGTGCGTTTGTGCGCAATAATCGCAGATACGGCCTAACCAATTTGGGTGCGATTTTCTCTAATGTATTGTGGCAAAGCTTCATTTAACATTTAGTGTTTGTTTATTTCAATCTGTTTAAAATAAAAAAATCATAGAATCACCCAGTCGGAGGATGAGTTCTAGTATTTGAATAAGTTTTTAGTAAATTAACTGTATAAACAACCTTACTTTAACGCAATGTAGCTCCACTCATAAATAACTATGAAATAAAATCTTGTAAAACAATTTTAACTTAATGAAAACATATTGTATACTAGCAACTCACCCTCGCTTCGCTCGGGTTCGTTCCTAGCTTGATTTCCTATACAAACTTTCATCCCTATTTTCACCCCGATGACGATTTCCGGGACAAAAAGTCAGTGCCGGCCGATACAAAGCAAAGCACACCGACTTCGAAAATATTTGATTAGGTATGTATAGTAAATGAAAACTACCAATCAGTTATTTTTTACTTTTTAGTGCTTTTTTGAAGTCGGTTTTTATTTTTTTGTTAAAAAGTTTTTATTTCAAATCAATTTGTATTTTTGTGGGTAGGCCCTGTCTGTTACAACTATATAATTAGTTTTGAGACGTCTAAAACCTTAGTCTCCCCGTGACCATGATTGCTGTAAAGCATTCGAAAAGTCGGGAACCAAAAATCAAAATAATTCCGCGAAAAAATCCGAAAAGATAGCTTTATTTAAAACTAGCACTGCCCGCGTCTCTAAAAGGTATTTACTAACGGTTAATCGCAGTATCTTATCTATTTGCTAGATAGAGGAATTTAATATAGTTTTTAATAGATTGTAATTTGTAATTCATTGTAATAGAAAAAGAAATCTATCCTACGGGAACCGTACATTTTTTCCGGTATAAAAAGTAGGCTATGTGCTATTCTAGACTTTAATTTATCCCTGTGCCAAACATCCAGATCCGTTCAGCCCGCGTTCAGATGACCAAAAACCAAATTCTTAGGTTTTACATATTAGTATACTCTTACTTTGCAGTTTTTGTATTTTTTCTCAGAAATGAGATATTTTCCCGCGGTAAAATGTATCCTATATTTTGACCCGGATCCAGCTATCACCATACTAAATTTCATCAGAGTCCCTCCAGTAGTTTTTCTGTGTCGCGGTAACAGACACAAACAAACATTCTAAAAACTATAGATTCGGCCTCTGTATCGATAATAATGTTTATTGCAATAAAATTTTCCAAAAAATATTTAATGTACAGATTCGGCTTAGTTACAATTTTATTGTATATATAGATATTTAAGGATTTCAAATAATTAATTTAGTTCTAAATTAAGGAGAGCTTTTACAGACTTCATTAATATAAATCAAATTTCCAACGAATTTGGAAAATAATATATCATTAAACAATTATTCATTCTGCCGATAACTTTGCTAATATATTATAATAAGTTATAAATAATTCTTACTTTGTCATTACCTGTAATGGCTTTTACAGATAAAATATGATCGACCAAGTTGAGAGTGTCATGTCGTTCTTGACGCTTAATTTGTAGCTCCCACGTTCTGTGGTTTCTTAGGAATGTTACTCGTAGGTACGAGTACAATGAGAAAATATTGCTTAAATAATTTAAATATGGCTTTGTGTACATTTTGTGAAGGTTAAATTTTGTCTTATTTGATACTAGCAACTCAACCTCGCTCCGCTCGGGTTCGTCCTTAGTTACGTTTTCATAATTAGTATAGATTTCTCAGAGATGAAATATTTTTCCGCAGTAAAAAGTATGTTGACCCAGATAAGCAGCTATCATCATATCAAATTTCATCAAAGTCTGTCCAGTGGTTTTCGTGATACGTTCCCAGACAGACAAGAATTTTAAAAACTATAGATTCAGCCTGTGTATCGATAATATAAAGACAATTTCAATAAGGTTTAAAAAATATATTTATTGTACAGATTCGACTCAGAATTTTATTATATGTATAGACTAGTTACAGGTTATGACATTCATGCTTCCATGCTATTATCTAGATTTTTGTTTTTAATCGCATTTAAAAGGAGGTGTTTAGTCAGATATTTTTTTTTGTTTGTGTGTGCTATGGATTGTTTTAGCTAGTATTTGATTTGCTTTAATAATAATTTTCAAAGACTACATAATTAATATAAATGTGAATATACATCAATATCAAAAATCACATAATATATATAATCAAAAATATCATATACATATGTACATCTATATCTATACTTATTATAAAAATAAGTCCCCCGGCCGCGTCTTTCTGTCCTCCTGTCTGTCTGTACGCGATAAACTCGAAAACTACTGAACGGATTTTTATACGGTTTTCAACAATAGAAAGAGTAATTCTTGAGGAAGGTTTAGGTATATAATTTATTATGCTTTTATGTAAATTAGCTGAAATACGGCGACAAATGTTGAAGAGGTCGCAAAAAATCTCGCCAAATGGGAACTTTCCACGCGAACGCCGCGTAAACTAGCAAAGATACAGTTAAGTAATGTACTAGAGAATTCAAAATCTATAAAAATGCTACAAAAAAGTCCGCGATAGCATATCTCTATCTCTTACGGTTGACTTACAATAACCACTTTTATGTTAACATTTTTAATTAAAAACATTACGTTATTTTTCAAAGTTATTTTCTTTAGTTCGGTATTAATCCTTATCCAAATGAATATTTTAGTTAGCTTAGTCATTTAATGCAGATTAAAATTGCTCTTTACACTAAATCAATCAGATGAATAGTTTTTGAGATATCGTTGTTAGAAGTAATTAGTAGCGAAACATTTTTAATGCTTGGCGAGCATTGAGATGCCTACGGCGAGTCCATCCCCTCTGCCCCGCATCGCTCGACCGCCTGCTCAAGCTATATAAACCGGGCGATGTAGCGCGCGATCCTAGGATACTTTTTACCGCGGGAAAATATCTTATTTCTGAGGAAAAATACAAAAACTGCAATGTAAGAGTATACTAATATGTAACACCTAAGAATTTAGTTTTTGGTCATCTGAACGCGGGCGGAGCCGCGGGCAATGCTAGTATATATTAAAAAGAAATTGTATAAGTGTACATATATGAGTGCGTAAAGTTGGGAGCTTAATTTGTGCGTTTTTGATCAAATAAATGTAAATACTTTTTCAACTTAAAAGTTCATCAGATCTAAGTAGATTGATAGAAAGTTCTAAGACAGTTAATGTGCCGAATTTAGTATCAAAAATATGTTTCTCTTAAAAATGTGGGCGAAGTCATGAAAAACAGCTAAATTGATATGAAATTATTATATTAGAATTATTATATTCTAGATATTTTTTATAAAAGGTAATTTGCTTTTTACGAACAACGTTTGATCT